TCTTTTTGAGACAGTGTCTCACTATGCAGTTCAGACTGGCCTTGAGCTCACTTTGTAGCCCAGGCTGGTCTTGAACTCAGAATGATCCTCCTGCCTCAGCCTCCCTAGTGCTGGGATTACAGGCGTGCGCCACCACGGCCGGCCCCTCCTATTATCTTGTTTTGAAATTTTGTTTTATTTATCTTTTTTCTTTAACATTTTTAAAAAAGTAAATTACAGGAAGGCCCAGCAAGGTGACAAAAGCCTGTAGTCCTAGACCCTTAGGAGGTTGAGGCAGGAGGACTGTTTGAAGTACTTGAACCTGGGATCAGGCTAGGGAGCACAGTGAGACCTTGTCTTAAAAGATAAAATGATTTTTCTGTCTTTTTGAGACAGGGTCTCCCTATGCAGTTCAGGCTGGCCTTGAGCTCACTTTGTACCCCAGGCTAGTCTCACACTCACAACAATCCTCCTGCCTCAGCCTCCCACGTGCAGGGATTCCTCTCTGCTTTAACCTTGAGGTCAATTCAGATTTTGCTGGTTTCTGCAGAAAGCTTCTGTCCACAGCTGCATAACAGACTACTCCAAAGTCTAGTGGCCTCCAGCAGGTACCCTTTCTTATGCCAACAGGGCCTGCAGTCAGGAGTTCAGACCTGAAGTCCGGCCTGGGAAGGTCTTGTGCACATTCCTGCCCAGGCAGAGCTCCCAAATGTAGGAGCATACTGAAAAGCAGAGGGGGCATGTGACCTTCACCTGACCTTGGAATCACAGCATCAACAAAGAAGAAAGGGCAGAAAGGACTGCAGGGGTCTGGCAGGAGCAGGTGCTCAGTTGGGAGGGAATCATGAACATTATTGAGAGAAGAAATCTATTCTGGCTCAGTTTGGGAGGTTTTGCTCCATGACTGGGTTGACCTTTGATTTGGGGCCTGTCTCAAAGGCAGCAGGTCGTGGTAAGGAGCAGAACCACACACTTCATACCAAGTACCCAGGCGCAATCTCCCACCAGGCCCCACCTCTTTGTCTGAGAAGCTACAGTAAGCGAGGTCCCAGGCCAGACCCCTGCTGCCACCTCTGAGCACAGCCCACACACACTGCCCAGCTGGTCACTGTTGGAGCATGGCGTCCCCCCGCCATGGGTGGCCCAGCCTGAGGGAAGGTGAAGAACAGGGATATGAAGAGAAAATATGTAAGAGGAGGAGCAGAAGAGGAGGCCACTGAGAGGCCCCTGCAGGCTGTGAGCAGGGAGGGCTGGCAGTGGCTATTCACAGGATTCCCTAGCCACCACACACAGAAGGGACAGACAGGGCCCAGCAGGAGCAGGAGCACAGATGGGAGGAGCTCAAAAGCCCAGGAAGATGTCAGACGTGGCAGCAGATGTGGATCTGTGGAGTTCTAGAATGCTAGGGGTGGGTAGGTTAGCATTCCATTGCTGAGACAAAATACCTGAGGAAACCAACATAAAAGGAGAAAAGAACTTGGGCATGGCAGCACATACCTGTGAACCCAGTACTCTGGGAGGCTGAGGCAGAAAGATCACAAACTCAAACCCAGCCTGGCCAACTTGGTCACTTACTGATACCCTATCGCAAAAGCAAACAAACAAACAAACAAACCCAAAGGCCCTGGTTCAATCCTCAGTACCACAGATAGATAAATAGATAGATGCATACACACACACATATAGGGCTGGGGATGCAGTGAAGACCATGGGTTCAATCTCTACTACCACACAAGAGGGTGGGTGAGGGAGAGGGAGAGAGAGAGAGAAGAAGAGAGAGAGGAAGACAGAGAGCAAAGAATGAGGACAAAGTAGCATATACTTGCAATCCCAGTTTTTTAGGAGGCTGGGGCAGGAGGATCCCAAATTCAAAGCTAAACTGGGCAAAGTGAGGTCCTGTCTCAAAACAATTTTTTTTTTTTTTTTGAGACAAGGTCTCGCTATGCATCAAAATAAAATTTTAAAAGGGCTGAGGAGCCGGGCATGGTGGCACACGCCTGTAATCCCAGCACTTGGGAGGCTGTGGCAGGAGGATCATTGCGAGTTCAAGCCCAGCCTGGGCTACAAAGTGAGCTCAAGCCCAGCCTGAACTGTATGGTGAGACCCTGTCTCAAAAGGACGAAAAAAAAAAAAAAAAAAGGCTGAGGATATAGTTCACTGCTCCTTCATTCAACTATAGATAAGTAGACAAGAGGATAAATAGATGATAGAGGGGCTGGGGATTTAGCTCAGCGGCACAGCGCCTGCCTGGCAAGCGCAAGGTCATCAGTTCGATACCAGAAAAACAACAACAACAAAAAAAAAAACATAGATGATAGAGATAGATGACAGATAGCTAGACAGATGATAGATGATAGATAAATACAGATATAGATAGGTAATAAGCGGCAAAGAGGAAAGACTTACTTTGGCTCACGGTTCCCAGCGTTTCAGGCATGGCTGTGTGGCTCTGTTGCTTTGGACTTGTGGCAAAGCCACACCTTACAGTGGCGTGTGTGGCAGAGGACACTTGTATACTTCACAACAGCTGGAAAGTGAAAGAAAAGAGAGGAAAGGTAGGGCCCAATGTCCCTTTCAAGGACACACCCAGGCGTCCAACTCTGTCCACCACTCACTGATAGCACCACAAGCTGGGGGCCACTGGCCCTTAGGGACATTTAATATCCAAACCATTACATGAAGCCAGCCAAACTTGCTGTGGGAGGAAGTCCAGGGCAAGACGTTGACTGCAGTCATCCCAACTGACACTGTGGGATGTGGAGAAATCAAGTTAACCCAGGATGAGCTGCTGTTTTAGGTCACGAAATTCTGGGGTGGTTTGAGCTAAATGAAACACAGCATTGCCCATCTATGTCCCCATCCATGTGAGATGCCATGGCCCAGCTGGCACCAGGCCCAGCATCACAGACATAGGGCCCTTTGGGGTCTCAGTGCCCTCAACCTCTTCCCCTGCACAGATAGCCATTGCAGAGTAATATAGAAAGGGGCCACTAGCACTGAAGCCACTTTTGTGGCTTCAGCCAAGCACAGTGTAGGACCGAAGTTTGACATACCCATAGCTCTCAGGGAGAGGTCATAGGGAGGCTGTGCACAGAAGTCTGGGCCTAGCCCAGCATGTGCACCCACCATGGGCTCCTGGGCAGCGGGTCTCTTTGGGCTTCAGCCTTTTACCCTGTAGGAGGTAGCGGGGTGCTAAGTGAGCATCTCTTCTGGCAGTGCTGGTTCCAGGGGCCTGTGCCCCTGCACACTGGATGTGCCGCAGCTTCCACTGAAGACGGCCAGGGGCACACAGAGCAAGTGCATTCCTGGTCTCTTGGCCACCACATCTCCCCTTGTTTTCTCTTGAGAGTGCTCTGGTTTCCCTTCCTGGTCTCCCCAGTTCACACTGGGGTCTGACCTGGTGGGGCATCTTGCACATCCCATCCAGCACCCCACTGAGCAGGGAGAGCATGCTGAGCACATGTGGGTGTGTTCCTGAGTCATGTGATGTGGGGGTGCTCTGCGTGGGGCGTATCCGGTCACTGCCTTCTTTGCCTCTAGGAGCTCCCAGGGCTGTGCTCTCAGACAGCCAGCTTTTCCCCACCCTCTGGACCTAGCTTGCCAGAATAACAAAGAATCTCAGGCAGCAGGCACAGGTATTTGACAGCAATAGATTTATTAAGTATCCCCCCAAAATATATAAACACAACCAGTAAAAAACAAACCATAAAACATCAGGCCTGGAGCCACAATAAAACAAAGAGACCAAGAGCAACAGGAAGCAGAGGTGGCCTATATGGGGAGGACAGAGCCATGGACTCCCGGGTGGGATGGCCATAAATACGGAGGACACTAACTTGGGAGCCCTGGGGTGCTGGGACAAGCTGGTAGGAAGCAAAGTTGGGGACAGTGTCGGTAGCTAGATGGCTCTGGGGCAGGTGCTGCTTGTCTTGGCCCTGGCTGCCACGTGGCCCCATACTCCAGCTGTGAGTGGCTTCACTTGGGGCCCTGGGCCTCGGATTCCTCCTCATCGTCTTCATACATCTCACCCTCTTCCTCAGCGGTGGCATCCTGGTACTGCTGGTACTCGGACACCAGGTCGTTCATGTTGCTCTCAGCCTCGGTGAACTCCATCTCGTCCATGCCCTCGCCCGTGTACCAGTGCAGGAAGGCCTTGCGGCGGAACATGGCCGTGAACTGCTCCGAGATGCGCTTGAACAGCTCCTGGATGGCCGTGCTGTTGCCGATGAAGGTGGAAGACATCTTGAGCCCACGCGGCGGGATGTCACACACAGCCACCTTGACGTTGTTGGGGATCCACTCCACGAAGTAGCTGCTGTTCTTGCTCTGGATGGCCAGCATCTGCTCGTCCACCTCCTTCATGGACATGCGGCCCCGGAAGACAGTGGCCACTGTCAGGTAGCGGCCATGGCGCGGGTCACAGGCGGCCATCATGTTCTTGGCATCGAACATCTGCTGGGTGAGCTCGGGCACGGTCAGGGCGCGGTACTGCTGGCTGCCCCGAGCAGTGAGTGGGGCGAAGCCGGGCATGAAGAAGTGCAGGCGTGGGAAGGGCACCATGTTCACAGCCAGCTTACGCAGGTCAGCATTGAGCTGACCCGGGAAACGGAGGGAGGTGGTGACTCCACTCATGGTGGCTGATACCAGGTGGTTGAGGTCCCCGTAGGTGGGCGTGGCCAGCTTGAGGGTACGGAAGCAGATGTCGTACAGCGCCTCGTTGTCGATGCAGTAGGTCTCGTCAGTGTTCTCCACCAGCTGGTGGATGGACAGCGTGGCGTTGTAGGGCTCCACCACAGTGTCGGACACCTTGGGCGAGGGCACCACGCTGAAGGTGTTCATTATGCGGTCGGGGTACTCCTCACGCACCTTGCTGATGAGCAGGGTGCCCATGCCCGAGCCCGTGCCCCCACCCAGAGAGTGGGTCAGCTGGAAGCCCTGCAGACAGTCGCAGTTCTCACACTCCTTCCGCACGACGTCCAGGACCGAGTCCACCAGCTCTGCTCCCTCTGTGTAGTGGCCCTTGGCCCAGTTGTTGCCTGCCCCCGACTGACCTGCAGAGGAACATGAGGATGTGGTGGGCCGAGGTAAACAGGCTACACTCCAGGCCTTCCCAGTCACCCACCACTGTGGAGCGCTGGCCTCCCAGCCCTGTGGGGCCAGTGTAAAGGGTAGAAACAAGAACTTGGGTGCATGAGCCAGCGTGGCCTGCCGCCCTCCACCCGACATGCTGGAAGCTTCAATGGCAGTGCCAGAACTCCTGGGTTTGCCCTCCTCAGGCTGCTGCCACTGCAGCTTGGAGAAAAGCAAACTTACCAAAGATGAAGTTGTCTGGCCGGAAGAGATGCCCAAAGGCACCGGATCGGACACTGTCCATGGTCCCAGGCTCCAGGTCCACCAGGATGGCCCGAGGAACGTACTTGTGAGCTGAAGAAAGAGACGGATTTGGTGACACAAGCCACAGAGGGATAGAGACACCTCCTCCTGCCCTCTGAATCCTGTCTGCAGACCAGCAGCACCTGCTGTCACCGTAAGGGTGGGGCTCATGATGAGCTTCCACCTCACTACTGAGTCACATGGTCCTGTGGGCAGGTGATACTTCACCAGTGTACCAGTGGGCACCAGCCTCTGCCAAGACCTGTACCCCTCATGGCTGCAAGGACACAGCTCCTGCCTGTCCCTTACAGCTGCCACATATATGTGCCTCCCACTCTGTGGTGGCTGTCACTGTGACCTGCTGTCTGTACCATCTGGGTGCCCTATCTCCAATCCCATCTTACTGGCCTTTTGGGCAACCCACAGGGCCAGGGCTGCTACTGCTGTGCCCGTCTAGTGCCCGCTCCCCAGGGTCAGGGCCTGGAAGGTGCTCACAGGAGGCCTCATTGTAGTAGACGCTAATGCGCTCCAGCTGCAGGTCCGAGTCCCCCACATAATTGCCGCTGGGGTCTATGCCATGCTCATCGCTGATGACCTCCCAGAACTGCAATAGAGAGAAGAGAAGTCGGTGGGTGGCCACAAGACTGGTAAAACCCTGATCCCCCCTCTAGCCTCACAGCCCTCAGCATCAAATTCAGACCTGGTCCCCACTAGCCTCATTGAGAGGCTCCAGAAAGAGCCTTGTGCTGTGTGCATGTCCAGGCTGCCCAGAGCACCCAGAGGCCCTTTGTGTCAGTGCCAATGCTGTCCAGGGATGGGGTCCAGCAACACTGGGCACTTTGCTGACCCCTGTCAGTGGGCCCACAGGAACTCTGAGAGCAAGTCACAATAGGCATCCCCTGCTGGGTCTTCAGAGGTCATCCCCATGCTCACATGGAGCCTACAAATCAAAGGTTCACTTTCTCACCACCTGCAGAGCCCACCCATCTCTTCTGGGTGTCGAGGACATGGCACCTCTCAGCTCTGCTCCTGTCACTGTGGTACAGCCATGGGGCCCAGCCCCACTGCATCTCAGCTGCATGACCACGGGCAGGTCATAAGGAGCCCCTACACCCTGGTGTCCTCTTGCATGTGTCATACAGAGCTGTCAGCACATACAGATGCTGTGAGCACAGCATCCAGGTGAGGCAGGCTGCAGAGTATCTGCTAGTCACCATGAACACATGCTGTGTGGTCTCCAGGGCCACGACCTCTTCATTCCTGGGTCACTCCTCAGGGCGGTGGGTGACTGGGGTGACTTTGGATGCATTAATAAACAAAAGGCCTCTAGTTAGCATTCAGGTGCTGGTGGAAGGATTGCTCATCGAAAGAACTGGGTTAGGAAACAGCTTTCCAGCATTCACCTATATTTAGATGTCTCTGACAAACACAGGAAGCTATGCCTAGGACACAGACCCAAGGGACTTTCTTGGGGACTTTCTTCCCCTTGGTACTGTTGGTATTTTGGTACTGTTGGAATTTTGTCATGTGCATATTACCTTTTTAAAAGTATTAACTTAAAGTTAATTTTAAGTTAATACTTTTTAAAAAAAATCTAAAGTCATTGAACAGATTATTATAAAACACATAGAGGTCTGGTGCCTTATCCTAAGGGAGGTCACTCAGCAAGTGTGGGGCTGGATTTCTTTCCCTCTTTTGTGTATTTTTGTCATCCCTAAGTTTTCTTTTTTTGTTTGTTTTGCTTTTTGAGACAGGGTTTTGCTATGTAGTTCAGGCTGGGTTTGAATTCACTATGTAGCCCAGGCTGGCCTCAAACTCACAGTAATCCTCCTGCCTCAGCCTCTGGAGTGCTGGCATTACAGGCATGTGCCACCATGCCCAGCACAAGATCCTTCTGCCTCAGTCTCTTGGATAGCTGGAATTACAGGTCCATGCCACCACACCCGGCTCTTCACTGTTTCAATTTTTTGGAAAGAAGCCTGGGCATGGTAGGGCATGCCTGCAATCCCAGCACTCAGGAGGCTGAAGCAGAAGGATTGCTGTGAGTTGGAGGCCAGCCTGCACTACATAGCAAGACCTGTCTCAAAAAAACAACAAAAAGTTAGTGCAGTGGCGCAGTAGCGCCTGCCTGGCAAGTGTGAGGTCCTAAGTTCAATTCTCAGTACAAAAAAAAAAATTTTTTTTTTTACAGGGAAAATATATTGACAACTGCTTTTGTATTTAAAATTAATTTTAAAATGTAATTTAAAGCAATATCAGTAAAACTCATGATATAACATAGTTAATAAAATAATGGACACGTAGATCCCACAGCCCAGGCCCAGCCTCCCTTCAGAGCTCCGGGTCCCTTGCAGGCAGTGTAGCGCTGTCCGCGGTGCTGACCCTGCTGTGCCCAAACTAGGCCCCGGAAGACAGCAGCAGTGAAGGAGGGGGCTGATTGAAGCCCCCACCCCCGCCCCTGTCCTCCCGGCGACGGGCTGGGGCGCTGGGAAGCTGGCCCCGCCCAGCTACGGGGGAGGAGCCGAGTCCACCCGCAGCTAGTGGGAAGCAGACAAAGACGCCTGCAAAACCCCTTCAGCGTGGCTCCAAGACTTGTCCTTGGGACTAGGAACCAGGTCGAAGCCCAGACCCCAGCCACGGGAACCACGGGGTGGGGCCCAGTGCCGTCTGTTCCCCACCAGTCCTGACCCAACCCGCCCCACGACCCTTGGCAAGGGACTCAACTTCCGCAGCTTCAAGGGTCTCACCCTGAGGGCAGCTAACACCCAGTTCTCCCACACAGGACCCCACACACAGCTCAGGAGGGAGTGAGACTGCTGGGAAAGAAGTATGCCTGGCTCCGCCCTTTCTCCCTTTGTGCCTTGACAGGCACCACCCAAGGCTCGGAAGACAGCATTCTCCTCCCCTGGCCAGGCGGGCAGCTCCGGGGATGGTGACCCTCCACCCACAGCAGCCCATATTCAGCTATCAGAGTGGGGGAAGCTTCCTATTGCCTGAGGCAGGTGTACAGCCTGGCCTGGAGCTTCCAGGCTAGCCTCGGGGGCTGTCCAGGACAGAGGAGCCAGACAGGAACTGCATAAAGGGTAGCAGCAGCAAAGGAAGGCACCAATCTACTTTAAAGAAAATCCACTTTTCTGCTATTGGCATTGTTCTAAGAGATCGGGGTTTTTTGTTCACTAGGGATTGAACCCAGGGCTTTTCTACTGAGCTACATCCCCAGTCCTTTATTATTTTTTTAAAATTGTTTTTCAGTCCTTTATTTTTGAGAACAGGGTCTCGCTTAGTTGCCCAAGCTGGGCTCAAATTTGATCCTCCTCATCCTTCCAGAGTGCTGGGATGACAGGTGTGTGCAACCACACCCAGTTCAGGTATTAAAATTTTGAGCACACATAAATTAAGAATAGCTCAGAAGGAATAAGGGCCTTATGGAGGAGAAGCAGAGCAAATCTTAGCCAGGAGCACTGTCCAGTTCTCGGGTGCTGCCTCTGTCCAGCAGCCCACAGGGGCGGGGGCCCTGCGGCGGCCCCGACGTCCAGCCCTGAGCTCTAAACTGATATAAGCCTGCGTGGGATCACAGCGCAGGGCCAATCCTGGCCACAGGGGGAGGGTCAGCAGGTCAGGAGCAGATGCCTTGGGCAGGCCAGGCCCCTATGACCAGTTAATGAGTCCTCAGCCCCTCCCTCAGGCTAGGCCAGCTGTCAGCCACCGCCCCAGGAGTCCTGATTCGATCCGAGGCTTCTGGGCCCCAGCCTCCCCTCCCCCACCCCCTCCTGGAGCAGGCGCAGCTGTCTCCTCCGTGATTAGGGAGTCTCCCCAGCAGAGACACCTCCACCCCACAGCCAAACTTGCAATTTACATGTCAGCCACGTGGCTGTCCCAGCCCCTGGTAATTAGGTTTTTGTTCCTGCCTGGTTTCCATGGTAACAGCCTCCGAGGAGTCCTTCCCGGCCCCTTCCCTCCAGGAAGTCTCCCTCAGGGAGCTATGCCCCTGGCCTCGGTCCTGACAAAGCCCCGGGCCCCACGTTGTCCCCAGAGAGGCCGGCTCCTCCGCGCGTCCCCAGCCCCAGGTCGGAGTGGGCAGCGGCGGAGGGCCTTCTTCCACTTGCTGTGTGACCTTGAGCAAGGGACAGCCTCCAGGGCCGGGGACAGGGCAGCTGCGGGAGTCTGGGCGGGTTGAGGCTGCCTCCCGAGCCTCGCAGTCATGGCACCAAGCCTCCTCTGCGAGCCCGCGTCCGTGGGGCGCGCCGACCGTGGGGCGGAGGCCCCGCAGCGCAGCCCAGCCGGCCGAGGCTTTGTTCTCAGGTCCAGGCTCGCGGGGCCGGGTGGGCGCGGCCAGCAGGGCGGGTGCAGGGGTCCAGCCCGACCCTCCAACAAAGGGAAGGCGGGCGTCCCAGCAGAGGGGTCGCCGCAGCAACGGGCCCC